CCTCTCGTTTTCCTCATTCATCAGTTCCTCAAAATACTCCTTCCATCTTCTCTGCCCACTCTCCTCACTTGTTAGCACCTTTCCATCTCTGTCTTTAATCGCCCTTATCTGTTGCACATTCTTCCCATCTCTATCTCTCTGTCTCACTAATCTGTACAAGTCCTTCTCACCTTCCCTCGTGTCTAACCTGGCATACAACTCATCATATGCTTTCTGTTTGGCCATTGCTGCCTCCTCTTCACTCTACGCTGCAATTCCTTGTAATCCTGTCTACTGTCTTCAGTCCTTTCTACGTCCCACTTCTTTTTAGCTAGCCTCTTCCTCTGAATGCTGTCCTGTACTTCCTCGTTCCACCACCATGTTTCCTTATCTTCTTTCCTCCTTCCAGATGACACACCTAGCACCTTCCTACCTGTCTCCCTGATCACTTCTGCTGTAGTTTCCCAGTCATCTGGAAGTTCTTCCTGACCACCCAAAGCCTGTCTCAACTTCTGTCTGAATTCCTCATGACATTCTTTCTTTTGCAACTTCCACCACTTGGTCTTCTTTTCTGTCTTTCCTCTTCTTCCTGACCACCAGAGTCATCCTACACACCACCATCCGATGCTGTCTGGCTACACTCTCTCCTACCACCACTTTGCAGTCACTAATCTCTCTCAGATTGCCTCGTCTACACAAAATGTAGTCTACCTGCGTACTCCTACCGCCACTCTTATATGTAACTCTATGTTCCTCCCTCTTCTGGAAATAGGTGTTAACTACAGCCATTTCCATCCTCTTAGCAGAGGTTAGTTTAGCTTAGCTTAGTTTTTTCCACTGTGTATACTAAAATTTATTTCATGTTGTACAGCAAGATCTTTCCACAAATTTGGTTCCAATTTTTCTTCAGGGATCAGATGTTACACAAATATCTGCGGTGTGCGGGAGTGTTGTAGACGTACCAGAGTCCGTCATAGCTGCTGGAGACAATGAGCGAGCCATCCCTGTTGAAGTGAACCTGGTAACACACAGACACATGGGGTCAAAGGTCACAATGCTGTCATCATGGATCCCGGTTCTGCTATGAAGCATTCACCGCCCTCATGTGACTGCTGAATCAAGTGAACGCTCACAAGTTGTTAATATGGAACTTGTGCTATCTGTACCTGTGACAAAGTTCAGAGGCCAGGACTTACAGCAGAGACGGGGTCAGAGTGAGCTGGCAGAGTCTTCAGACATTTTCCTGTTTTCACATCCCAGATACGAACGCTCTCGTCAAACTACAGAAAAACAGACAGGTTTACCATTTCAATAGATGCTCAGTGTTTGCAGTGGGACTGTGAAGTGGTGAAGCAGCCTACCGATCCAGACACCACCAGGTTGGACTGAGGGTTGAAGTTACAGCAGAAGACATAGTTACTGTGACCTTTCAGAGTCTTCAGGCACTTTCCCTGAAAACATGGACAGAGACTGTAAAACAGCTGGTTCGAGTTTGAAGTCTTCACTTTAACAGCACTTCACATTCTTTTTCAGAGTACATCCAGTTCTTCTGCAGACACAAACATATCTGTAATCATCTGTGACACGGTCTTGTACAACCCAGACCAGATGGACAGAAAATCTTCCAAATGAAAAATAAAAGTGCTGATTCCAAGGTATGTACATGAATTGTCTGCCACCCCCCATTTTTACAGATGAAAAAATGACTGTTGAGCAGTTCTACAGCCGTTGTTGTTGATGAAAAATGACGATTAGTACATGTAGAGCTCACTACTGTGAGAATAACTGAATGTACATTACATGGTCCTTATGGGAACGAACGTTTGTTTCTGTCCTTGGGTCTTACAGAGTTGTTGTCCCAGATCTTGAGTGTTTTGTCATCGGAGGCAGAAACCAGCAGGTTGGAATCTGAAGACCAGGACACATCAGAGATCCCCTATGCACAAAGAGACACAGAGAACCGGACTCAGAGCCAGAACCAGTCTGAATCCAGACTGGCATTAGGTCAGATTCAGAACAGTGGTGTCTCACCAGTTTGTGCCCGACAATGGATTTCTCAAACTTTCCATCATATGCACCCCAGATCTTTATCAGCTTATCAGCAGCTGCACAGAGGTATTACCATGGTTACTGCATCACAACATCATAGCATGCACAGCTCATTTCATCAATACTCAGTGAGACACGGTGATGTGTTCATGGACGTTAATTTATAGTTAAGATGACATGCTAACATTTAAAACAATCAGGGCCAAGCACCGCCTCCTCCAACCTCCAACCTGTCAGCAGAAGCAGTAGTTTGTTTATATGACCGTTTTAGGTTTGTGCCAAACCTAAAATGGTCACCTCAACCTCAGTTCTTCAAGCCAGTTTCTTTTAGATGTTCCTACGGCCAGATATAAACGCTGGGGCGACTGTGCTTTTACTGTTGCAGCCCCTAAATTGTGGAATAGTCTACCTTTTAATGTTAGGTCATCTACTGACCTCAGTACTTTTAAATCATTGCTTAAAACATATTTATTTGGCTTGGCTTTTAATACACAGTGGGGCCTGATGCATTTCTTTTAATCTAATTTATTGAATGTGTGTCTGAGTTATTGTTTTATTTTTCCACTGAATCTATTTTATTTTAGTTATTTATCGTTATTTTATTCTGTCAATGTAAAGTACTTTGGTCAACTGGATGTTGTTTTTAAAGTGCTATATACATAAATAAATAAATTTGATTTAACATGTCACTGTTCCTGAATGCACCACCCAGAAGAGTTTCCACATAACTTTAACTCGAGTTTGACAAAACCAGAACAAGGAAAATGTTCACACAAGCTGAGCTGATAGTGTTAGCACAGTTTGTTTCATCCATGTGTGTGATTTGACTATCACTCACACACACACACACACAACCTGGTAGTTATTCTTGTGTGCACATGGCTCACATTTCAGTTACATCTGTGCATGTGGCAGCTTAGGAGCTCAGCGGTGTTCACACCGGAGCCGGGTACACGGCCCTGACACACACGGGCAGGAAGCAGCAACACAACGAGGTCAGACATTAGGGATACACCACCATACCACACGTTTTCAGACCAAGTACTTAACATTTGAGTACTTAATACTATGTACTATAATACTACAAAAAGTACAGTGACCATATTATTTTCATGAGATTTAACTTCTGATTGTGATTACATAAAAATAACATGACGCTGTGCAAATCTGAAAGCTTTGTGATAAACAGCATTTACTATGTGTCCTGTCCAACACAGCACTGCCAGCATTCCTAATGAATACTGAACATGTAGCTGACTAAAGGTCTGTAGCCTACTACATAACATAAGTGTAATACAGTGGTATTCAGCCTTTGTAGGAGCACAGCCCTCTGTCAGGATGAAATTATTTCACAACCCCGCCCAGAGGGGCATGTTTGGGAGCTATAATATCACAGTCGGCGATTCAGATATTTAATTTAACGAGGGTACATACTCTTAGTTGGAGATGCTCAGTTGTCATGAAGGACAGTACAGTAATACTACTACTAAATAAAACGTCACCTGTTTTTCTGTCTGTAAAAATAAGCTGTGATGCCTGGCACAGGTGTGCTGGTTTCACAGCCTTTAACCTTAACTTCTGCTGACAGGAGAGGACCAGTAGGAATAACATGTATCTGTGTGTGTGTGTGTGTAGGTCAGTGCGTTATTGTGTACTTCTCACAGGAGCTGGCGAGCCACTCTCCGTTGGGGCTGAACTTGACAGAGGAAACAGCCTTTGTGTGTCCGGCCAACGTGAACTTCACAGTGTAGTTTGGTTTGGCTGGGTTAGACTGGAAACACACAGATCATGTTACTACTAATACATGGTTATAAACAATGTGCTGCTCACATTAGTTAAACACTTATTCATTAAAGTTTCTCCACTATATCACATTAGACCAGGTCTGCAGAATAAGTCACTACAATTAATCTGACCCTTTGACCCTTTTGACAGAGTCAAAATCAGAACGAGTCAAGGTTTTAAGGCACATGTGTCAAACTCAAGGCCCGCGGGCGACATCCGGCCCGCAGATCATTTTATATATCTTTTTTCTTAATGGCCCGGCGAGATGAAGCGCCGATAACACACAAACTACAAATCCCATAATGCAGCGCAACAGCTGCCTTACCAAACGATAGGCTACCTGCCATCATTCCCGCGTCAATTACGTCAGATCAATCAAGCGTCTGTTGATGTATACAACCCTAATTTCAGGTCAAAGCTAGCCCCTAACAATGGCCAAGTGAAAAGCTGATTCTGAAAACAGAGCCTTTCAAAACCGGTGGGAGGCTGAGTATATGTTTACTGACATTGCCGGTAAACCTGCGTGTCTTATTTGTGGAGCTAATGTGGCTGTAATTAAGGAATATAACCTAAGACGGCACTACGAGACAAAACATCAGGACAAGCTGAAAAACGTGAAGCAGAGGAGAAAATCAGCCCGGACATTTACCGAGGGAGAGTTTCTGAAGAGCTGCATGATGAAAGTGTGCGACGTCTGGTGTCCAGACAAAAAGCAGGTGTTTGCAAATGCAAGCCTTAGCAGAAATACGGTTGCTGATTTTAAGTTCAGGTTTATTTATTTTGGAATAATATTGTATCCTGTCTGTTTCTATTCGTATTTATGTTCAAAAAACATTTAGTTTTAAGTCTGTTCAATTAATTTTATCTTGTTCGTCCCGCGACCTAAAATGTGCTTTGAGTTTTGGCCCCCTGTGTCATTGAGTGTGACACCCCTGTTTTAAGGCGAGTTATCTCAATAGCGTTTAGTAATAAAATAGGTTTTTACATGTATTTGTTGACGGAGGTCTGAAACTGCTCTTGCGTAGTAACACATAATAAATATTTATTCATCATGACATATTATCACTGTTTGCAGCGCTGACATAGAATAAAAATTGGGTTTACAAAATGTAAAGTGCACAGAAAGTTCGCTTTAACAGTCTTTACCCGAGACAGAAGCCCTCTCTCCCATCACCTGCTAACCGGACTTTCTGGAACCCCGTCGGTATGTGTAACTCACCTTACTGCCGGATCCAGAGGAAGATGTAGGCTGTTTGGCATTTTCTGTCTCTGGTTTCTTCTCCTCTGTCGCCATGTTGTGCTGCTCTCGGGATTCTAGCTTCTGTTAAATTCAGTTAGCTTTTATTTGTTTTGATTCTGTGCTGCTAAAGCGCAGCTATACCTAGCGCCTGATGCTAACCCCGCGCTAACTGTAGCCTCTGCAGTCCGCACTCGTTCTGAATCGGTACTGGTACCGTGTTAACGTTCTGGACCGGATCTCAACAGATACAGATTCGGCGTCGGACCGAACCTTTACAGCAGCAGACGGAGATGAGCAAGTTAGCTTGTGCTAGCTACAGAACCAGAATGTGGTGGCGAGCACATAGTTGCTACGGCGCATGCGTGACAGAAACGGCAAGAAAGGAAGGTCAAAATGAACATCAGTTATATACTGGTTTGTCCATCGTTTTATACAGTCAGTGTACTGTACATACGTTAATTACTCTTTTAAAAAAGTTATTTAAACGATTCGTTGTTTAACATTCAATTGTACTTTTCAGTGAGTATAGGTTCAGTCATATCAACAGTATGTTCAACAGTCCCCACACAGAGACTAAAACTGGCTACTCATGTTTAAACCCCCATGGCGGCTTCCAACCATTTAATGTTTAATCTTGGGTACCTCTAGATTATCTTGGCATGCCTCATAACTTCAAATACTCTGTAATTGTTTCAGAGTCAGAGAGCCAGAAAGCCTCTTCCTTAACACGAGAGGACAGTTTGTGAACACGCACAACTCCTGTTGCTGGTGTTGTTCCAACTGGACAGCAGAACGAACCACAACAGCATTAATTAATGTGAATGTCTCCTTCACATTACACTAGTAATGGTTAACTAGCAACACATCACATGCTGCAGACACACTGGCCTCAAGCAGTCAGAACAAACAGGTACTGTGCTCCGGGGACCCCATCTTCACACTCATCTTCAACAGGTCACTGGAGCTGTATGAAGTCCCCTCCTGCTTCAAACGCTCCGCCATCATTCCAGTCCCCAAGAAAACCTCCATCAGTGGACTGAACAACTACAGACCTGTTGCCCTGACATCTATAGTTATGAAGTCCTTTGAAAGACTGGTGTTGGCTCACCTGAAAGACATCATTGATCCCCTGCTGGACCCCCTGCAGTTTGCCTACCGGGCAAACAGGTCAGTGGACGATGCAGTGAACACAGCACTGTATTACATCCAGCAACACCTCGACTCCCCAGGGACCTATGCACGGGCCCTCTTTGTGGACTTCAGCTTGGCATTCAACACCATCATCCCGGACATCCTCCACTCCAAACTAACCCAGCTCACTGTGCCTGTCCCCACCTGTCAATGGATTACTAGATTTCTGACAGACAGGGCGTAGCAGGTGAGGCTGGGGAAAACCATTTCCACATTGAGTGTGACACCCCTGTTTTAAGGCGAGTTATCTCAATAGCGTTTAGTAATAAAATAGGTTTTTACATGTATTTGTTGACGGAGGTCTGAAACTGCTCTTGCGTAGTAACACATAATAAATATTTATTCATCATGACATATTATCACTGTTTGCAGCGCTGACATAGAATAAAAATTGGGTTTACAAAATGTAAAGTGCACAGAAAGTTCGCTTTAACAGTCTTTACCCGAGACAGAAGCCCTCTCTCCCATCACCTGCTAACCGGACTTTCTGGAACCCCGTCGGTATGTGTAACTCACCTTACTGCCGGATCCAGAGGAAGATGTAGGCTGTTTGGCATTTTCTGTCTCTGGTTTCTTCTCCTCTGTCGCCATGTTGTGCTGCTCTCGGGATTCTAGCTTCTGTTAAATTCAGTTAGCTTTTATTTGTTTTGATTCTGTGCTGCTAAAGCGCAGCTATACCTAGCGCCTGATGCTAACCCCGCGCTAACTGTAGCCTCTGCAGTCCGCACTCGTTCTGAATCGGTACTGGTACCGTGTTAACGTTCTGGACCGGATCTCAACAGATACAGATTCGGCGTCGGACCGAACCTTTACAGCAGCAGACGGAGATGAGCAAGTTAGCTTGTGCTAGCTACAGAACCAGAATGTGGTGGCGAGCACATAGTTGCTACGGCGCATGCGTGACAGAAACGGCAAGAAAGGAAGGTCAAAATGAACATCAGTTATATACTGGTTTGTCCATCGTTTTATACAGTCAGTGTACTGTACATACGTTAATTACTCTTTTAAAAAAGTTATTTAAACGATTCGTTGTTTAACATTCAATTGTACTTTTCAGTGAGTATAGGTTCAGTCATATCAACAGTATGTTCAACAGACCCCACACAGAGACTAAAACTGGCTACTCATGTTTAAACCCCCATGGCGGCTTCCAACCATTTAATGTTTAATCTTGGGTACCTCTAGATTATCTTGGCATGCCTCATAACTTCAAATACTCTGTAATTGTTTCAGAGTCAGAGAGCCAGAAAGCCTCTTCCTTAACACGAGAGGACAGTTTGTGAACACGCACAACTCCTGTTGCTGGTGTTGTTCCAACTGGACAGCAGAACGAACCACAACAGCATTAATTAATGTGAATGTCTCCTTCACATTACACTAGTAATGGTTAACTAGCAACACATCACATGCTGCAGACACACTGGCCTCAAGCAGTCAGAACAAACAGGTACTGTGCTCCGGGGACCCCATCTTCACACTCATCTTCAACAGGTCACTGGAGCTGTATGAAGTCCCCTCCTGCTTCAAACGCTCCGCCATCATTCCAGTCCCCAAGAAAAGCCCATCAGTGGACTGAACGACTACAGACCTGTCACCCTGACATCTATAGTTATGAAGTCCTTTGAAAGACTGGTGTTGGCTCACCTGAAAGACATCATTGATCCCCTGCTGGACCCCCTGCAGTTTGCCTACCGGGCAAACAGGTCAGTGGACGATGCAGTGAACACAGCACTGTATTACATCCAGCAACACCTCGACTCCCCAGGGACCTATGCACTGGCCCTCTTTGTGGACTTCAGCTTGGCATTCAACACCATCATCCCGGACATCCTCCACTCCAAACTAACCCAGCTCACTGTGCCTGCCCCCACCTGTCAATGGATTACTAGATTTCTGACAGACAGGGAGTAGCAGGTGAGGCTGGGGAAAACCATTTCCAGCACCTGGACAGTAGGCACAGGCGCCCCCCGAGAGATGTCTGCTCTCCCCTCTGCTGTTTTCACTCTATACCAACAACTGCATCTCGAAGGGTCCCTCTCTCAAGCTCCTAAAGTTTGCAGATGACACAACGGTCATTGGTCTCATCCGAGACGATGACAAGTCAGCCTACAGACGGGAGGTTGAGCAGCTGGTCCTGTGGTGTAGCCACAACAACCTGGAGCTGAACACGCTCAAAACAGTGGAGGTGACAGTGGACTTCAGGAAGAACCCTCCCACCTTGCCCCCACTTACCATACTTGGCAGCACTGTATCAGCAGTAAAGTCCTAGAAGTTCCTGGGCTCCACCATCTCCCAGAACCTGAAGTGGACGTCCAACATCAGGACCATCACCAAGAAGGCACAGCAGAGGATGTACTTCCTGCGCCAGCTCAGGAAGTCCCTGAAGTCAGGAAGACCTTGTCCCCAAAACAGCTGACCTGAGCTGTCCCTCTGATGTGCTCATTCCTAATCCAGTCCATCCTGGTCACTCCTAAACAGAACCTCAACATCCTCATCTCTGCTACCTCCATCTCTGCCTCTTGTCTTTTCCTCACTGCTACAGTCTCTAACCCATACACCATAGCTGGTCTCACTACTGTCTTGTACACCTTTCCTTTGATTCTTGCTGCCACTCTTCTGTCACACAACACTCCTGACACCTTTCTCCACCCACTCCAACCTGCCTGCATTCGCCTCTTCACCTCTTTCCTACACTCCGTCACACTAGACTGTTGACCCCAAATACTTAAACTCCTGCACCTTCTTGACCTCAGCCCCCTGTAACCTCACTGTTCCACTTCCCTCCCTCTCGTTCATACACATGTATTCTGTCTTACTACGACTGACTTTCATTCCTCTT